GCTCATGAGCAGAGATAGCAGTAAACTGTGGCATATTTATACAACTGAATTTTAGATAGCAGCTAACATGAGTAAACTACGGCAAGGTGCAATAAGACGGATAGATCCAAACCATATTAAAAGAAAAAAAATCAATAAAGACTATGAAACTTTTTTAAGTTAAAGGCAAATTAAAATAAAAATATAGCCAGGTGTGTCGGCACAAGCCTATAATCCCAGCAACTCAGGAGGCTGAGGCAGGAGGATGAGGCAGGAGGATTGCAAGCTTGACACAAGCCTGGGCAATTAATTTTAGCAAGACCCTATCTCCAAATTAAAAATAAAAGAGCTGGGATGTAGTTCAGTGGTAAAGAGTTCCTGGGTTCAATCCCCAATACTGCCAAATAAACATAAAGAAATAAAACCATATGAATAATAAAATCAAAACATACTTTTAAAAAAGTAGATCAAAATCAAGAGAAGGAAAAAAGTTGCCTGGGGTAGGGGAGGTGGCTAGCCTACTGCTGAGATCATTTGGTTAGATATAGATTTACTAGCAGATTTTATTTTAGGTAGTAGATTCATAGGTGCTTGTTAAATTATTAAAAGCTAAATAAATAAAAGTGGACCATTGATGGGCCAATTATAAGAATGTATTATGAATCAGAAACTATGAGTAAACCAAATTTGTGAGCCTGGGCTTCATAAAAGAAAAGTAGAAGGGGAGGGAGAAGGGAGGGAGGTTAGAAAGAAGGCCCCCACCTAGGGCTGGGGAAAATAAAGACAGAGATTAGATAACATTGTTATGGGAGTCCTTTTAGCAGCCTGTGGCTATCAGGGAAAGGGTAGAGACTGGGTTGATTCAGTGCTGGCCATGGTTCAGTGTCTGCAGTGGGAGGCCCATGAGGAGGGATAGTGGATTGAAGATCAGGACCAAAGCAGTGCTGACCACATGAGCCAGGGGAGCCTGGCAGCAGAGTAGCCAAAATGGACTTTTAAGGACTGTGGGCTTCTGACTGTGCTGTTGTGGTGGCTTTGGAGCACCTTACTGGAGAGATTACCATTGGGCACTCCCTCCCTCCCTCATAGAGGGAGTGGGGCACTGGGTGAGTCACAGAAAGCTTGAGGAAGTAGGTGGAATAGAGAAATCTGAGCCAGGAAGAGGCTGAGCCTTCCACTGGACTCAAAGTGGTGCTGGTTAAGGACTCCAGAGTGATGTAAATTGCGGTTCTTCCACTTACTCTGTGTGACCTTGGACAAGTTACTTATCCACTCTAAGGCTCTGTTCCCTAAGCTGCAAGATGGAGATGGTATGTTTTACTTTACAGTGTTTTCCTAAAATTTAAATAAGATAATGCGTGCAAAGATATGGTATCTTAGGAACTCAATAACTTGTAGTTATAAAGCTAAAGCAAACTATTCAGCAAAGGAGATCTAAAGCAGGCTACCCCTAGACACAAAACTGAATCAGAGTCAGAGGACCACAAAGAACTCAGCAATCTGGGAGCTGGGAGGAAGGAAAGTCAGAGGGACTTCGGTAACACCAGGAGCAAGACCTATCTACCACCCTGCTGGGATACTTAAGGGGGACACTGCTCTCTGTTCTATAAATAAACCAGCCTATACTGGTGACAAAATTTACAAGTGACCCCACCCTACCAGAACCCTGTCTCTTTTGAAAACTACAGAAGGTTGGAAAGATTTTTCATTACCCAGGCCACGCAACGACAGGCTGACTACCCACATCTCCTCATTCATTTCTGGTTTTAAGACTAGCTCTCTCCCACATAAAAAGCCCTTAGCCTAAAACAATTGAAACATTCCATGCTTTTATAGGATTATTGAGACTAAAATCAGAATTTTGTGAAGTTATCTGTCTTGGATTATTTGTATTATCTTTTATAATAATGGTTTGGGAGGGGCAAAAGAGGGCCGTTTTTTTAAATTTTGGTTTTCTTGCTGTCATCTAGGTAATGCCCCCTTTTTCAAAATGCCAGCCTGCTTGAGCACAGTAAAGAAGAAACAAGGAGACATATTCTCCATAATTGATCTGTATATTCCTAGTTTCCACGTATGGCAGGAACAGTGTGAATAAAGGGACAGAAATCTCAAAAAGATGAAAATTTAGGAGCAAATGGTCAAGGGTTACTTTTGCAGCTAGTAACTCCTGCCAGGATTATTGAACACAATCAGCTCTTCTTGTCTCTTGGGATTTATGTGGTCCTTGGGGTTTTTCCCTTTATAGGGACTGATAGTAGGACAGAGGGGCTGTGGCAAAAGTCTAAGGTTGGCGGTTGACCTTGTTCCCTCATTTCCTTCCTAACAGGACCAACAGGCTGTATTGCCTTTCCACCCAAGTATGAAAGCTCATGGGTTCTTGCATTGCACTTGCTTTAGAACCTCAAGGTTCTCTGACTACAGCTGCAGGCTCTTGGTGCTTCTGGTGCAATTATTTGCCTTCTTTATATTGATAGTATCACCTTTACTACCCATCCCTTCCATCTGGTCATCTCTCAGTACCCCATGGATTCCCTCTCTTTGCTGAGGTCTCACATCCATGGTTCTGGAAAAATGCAACAGTGAACTTATCTGGGTGAAAATCCAGTGAAAGAGGGGAGACTGAAAAAGATGGAAGGAAATGTCTTAGTTCGTTTTGAGACTTAGGTATTCTCCTCTTTTATAGAAGAGAAAGAAAAAGAGAACTAGTCAGTCTGGTGTTGCCAGGGTATTTCCCCAACAACCTCATTGCTGCCTCCTAGTGAAAGTTTTAGAATTCAAAAGGAGACCATTTACTGGGAAGGGCTTGTAGTGAAAATTGGAAACAATTTAAACAGACCCATCAACTTTTTCCGAGAGTGTCTCTCAGTGTCCGATTAGATATATGTGTGATGGCGGGCATTACCGTGGCCACTGGAAAATACAGACCCACAGAATTCCACTGATGGAGTTAATCTTTTCTCCAGGTGTTTACTTTCAAGAGTGGACAAGGCCCATCACACTTATAATTCTTCTTTCACTATTTCCTCACATAAGACTATTCCATTTCCTATATACTAGTATTTTTCATCTTTTGGACAAAATGGCACAAGAACAAAAAACATAACACCATTAATTCATAATACATAGGAAAAAATTAAACATGAATTTACATTTTGGTATATATGAATGAAAATGGCTTGAAATTTTTGTTAAAAGTTCAACCAGGTTCAGGATAGAGGTAGCTTACGGAAAGGCTCCTTCCTTGGTTGTGAAGGGCTTGGGCCAAGAATATTGATCCCCTAAAATGCAAAATTGAAGTCCAATCTGTTCTATTTTTAAATGTGTGAAGTTTTATTTGGTGAATGGATGAACAAGTACACAGTTTTTATAAAATGACATATTTGGTTTTTGTTGTTCAACACTTGCGGACTTGAGAAGTTTCAAATTCAGTTCAATCACTATCACTAAACAGGTACTTCTGCACAGCTTATACTGGAAAAAGTATATCCAAAGAATTTTTTGAATTTTATTTTTATAAGATATAGCAAACATAGTACACATATCATTCAAGTACATAAATATTTCTTTTCAGTGTGGTAATAATTTGTTGCAGATTTTAAATTTTCAAGACTATAAAACAATCTAATTCACACCAATATCAAATACATTGCTTCAATCTTCCTTTTCATATGTCAAGATAATTTTTATGATTAGACTCAACTTTATTCACAAAATTTAGTGAATAACAGTTTTTCATCTCTTGGGTTCCTAAACATATATTATTTGACAGTATATAATATTTGTTTTGTCTCAAGCTTATACAAGTTAGTAGTTTAAAAGCTCAGGGATGATAGCTTTGTAGTTTATTATCAGAAAACAGTATATTAATATTCTAGTCTATGTAATCATACCTGCTGGTGTTTTAACATTGTACCACCAAAAATTTATGAATGACAGACTTTACAGAGCCTGTTAAAGGAATATGGTTCTTAAGAAATCGGTTCAATTATTTTAGCAATACAAAGGCATAACTGATACAAAGTGAACATTTGTAAATGTGTCATATTAAGAAAAAGACAAAAACCACATAACATGCTATTGCTGAGTCACATTTCTAGTTATCATACCTAAAATTAAAAAGAAAACAATCGCTACTCTTTTATTAAAATGAGCAACAAAAGAAGTCAAACTTTAAAATTAATATGATGGCCTAAAACAATTCTTCTTCAAGCTCATAATTACAATCAATGTTCTGTATTTCTGTGTGGGTGTGAACTCAACATAAAATTGCAGGAAGGCTTCAAAAGTTAAGCCTTTATAGAAGTTCCTACTTGCACATAACACATAGCTAGGTCAAATTCAAATTGCCAAAGAAAGAAGGTAAGCAATTTCTCCCTGGAAGGCAGGCCACCTTGAGACTAAAACCCCCAGACAGACGTGCTGCAGATCAAGAAGTGAGAAAAATATGCAAACAAAACTATGCTGTTTGATTTTTTTTTGTATCCATCAATTTAAGAAAAAAACTGCTCTAACTACTAAGCAAGAAAATTGTACTCAAAAACATAAAAATATCCAGTATAAAGTGATGAATATGTTTTACTTCTTTCTTTGAAACAATTTATACTTCTTTTTATCAACATCTTCACCCTGTGCAGTTAAGTGAGATACTGTAAAGTTAACTGTACCTTAAAGAGATCAGCAATATGGATGGTTGTGGAGACCAGGATTAAAAGGAAAAAGAGAGAGGGGGGGAGGGAGGGAGGGAATTGTTAAAGAGCTGAAAACTTTAGGACGCATAATCTTAGCCTGGGCCAGCTCCTTTTCAAAAGGGTTGCTAAGAGGACGCTCAGTCCCTCCTGAGCTATTTTTCACTCCACTACTTCAGACTAGATGCACCAGCAGTGCAGGAAAATGCAGGAAGCATCTGTTGCAAGTTACATTTGGACCTCCAAGGAAAATGAGCGTTTCTTGCTAGGAACAGTCTCAAATATTTTCAAGGGTGCTTCCCCCCTTTCCCCAAGCTTAACCCTCTTCCTCCGTAGGTCGCGAGGCTCTCTCCTTCTTCTGCGCGCCTCCGACCTCCTTCGGACAGATGCTCCAGGAGCCGCGACCGAGTAGCAGCGCTGGGCCCGCCAGGGCAGCCAGCAGTGACACCGGGGGATGCCAACGCAAAACAGTGCGCAGACTCCTCGGCGCGCTGCGGACTCTCCACTCGCCTAAACCTGCTCTCAAGTGAAAAGGAGTGGGAGGAGGAGTATTGGGAGGGGGCGGAGGGCGAGAGGGGGGATCCTGTTAATTCGCGGTCCTGGGGGGTGTGAGAGCGGGAGGAGGCTCCTCTGGTCCCTCCCCCCTCCTGGAGTCCAGGGCTCCACCTCCTCCGCAAGCCCCAAGATATACACACACAGCAGCGGCTGGACATGCACACCCAGCGCCGGCTCTGGGCGCGTACACACGCAGGTAGCGACACTCACCTGAGCGGGTTCAGAAGGCTCCAGCCGCCTTCGGATCGGTGGAGTGGCGACCTGGACCAGGAAGGGGCCCTTTGGGCTGCTGCAGTGGGGAAAGCCGGAGCAGCCCCAGCGCAGACCTGCGAAACTGAGGTGATGGCGCGTTTTCCTTAAACCCCTCTTTCAGCATCTTGGCCCCAGTGCTTGGTCGGCTGCAGCGGGTGAACCCCGAAGACAGGGGGGCCCCGGCGCCACGCAGGCTCGGAGGAGAGCGCGTCGAGAGGGGCGCGGCGGCGCCGGCGCAGGAAACTTGGGAGAAGTTAGTTACAAGTGCCGGGCGGCGGCCGAGAGGAGCGCCAAGGGGACGCGGCCGCGGCTGCAGCGCGGAGGAGGCTGCGCCGCCTTCCACGCCCGGCGCGCTCTGGTCGCTCGGCGCGCCTGGAGGGGCTTGGAGCGAGCGGGGTCAGCATGGCCGGGGGGACCGCCCGACATCGCGCCTGGGAGAGCCAGGAGAATTTCCTCTGAGGCCGGGCGACCCCAAGGTTGCTCAAGCCTCATTCAGCCTCCTTCCTCACCCCTCCAGCGCAAAGGCCAGAGAGGAAGACTTGAAAGGCAGGTGCTGGAGGGACAGTGCCCCCGAAAAAACCCCCAGCCGATAGGGGCGTTCCCATCAGCACGCCCTGCCCGGAGCCAAGAGAGGAAGACTTGAAAGGCAGGTGCTGGAGGGACAGTGCCCCCGAAAAAACCCCAGCCGATAGGGGCGTCCCCATCAGCACGCCCTGCCCGGAGCCAAGAAGACCGGCTGGTGCTGCCGTATTTGTATTTATATCCATTGCTGAGCTCTGCGTTCCCGTGGCGCGCCCGGACCCTCCTCCGCCTCCCCCCTCCTCTTCCTTCGAGGCCACCTCCTCTCCTCCCCCACCCCCATCTGCTTCTGTCAAATGAGAAAGTCACCCAGGAGAACCCAAACACTCCAGCCGCCGAGAGCCCCCTTTGGCACTTGGCAGCACGCGGCGGCGGGCTCCTCGGCTCAACTTGGTAGAGCCTCCGCGACGCAACTTTCGGGACTGCTTTGCATTTAGGAAAGAGAAAACGGAGGGGGG